GAATCTCCCCCATTGCGCAGCTGGAAAAACGAAACTCGTGAGCACTAAAAATAAAATTCCCCCTACTCCTTTGGTCCTGGTCTGCTGGTTCCCTGGTCGCTTGGTCCTTTGGTCCCTTTGTCCTGGTCCCTTGGTCCCCTGGTCCCTTGGTCCCTCTGGTCCCTTGGTCCTCTGGTCCCTTGGTCCTCTGGTCCCTTGGTCCTCTGGTCCCTTGGTCCTCTGGTCCCTTGGTCCTCTGGTCCTTCGTCCTGGTCTTCGGGTCCTTGGGTCTGTACTTTCGAGGCAAGACGCGTTAAAGGTGATTTGGAAATCTGGTCATACATCCTGTGAAGCACTATAGCAGACCTTTTATCGCCAGACGTAGCACATCTTTTTTGTGAGCCACCCTGACGGTAAAATTTAGACGAAGAAAGTGCCATTCCAAGGTAGCAAACCTTTTGTGAGCCACCTGAGGGCAAAATTTTGAAGAGGAAGGAGCCATTCCAACGTTGCAGACCTTTTGTTGGCCTTGCGAGGTTAAAACTGAGAGGAAGAAGTTGCCATTCCAACGTAGCAGGCCTTTGTTTTGTGAGCAACCCGAGGGTAGAACTTGCTATTCCAACGTAGCAGACCTTTTGTGAGCCACCCGGGGTTAAACTTTAGGTGCCACGAAAAAGGTAGCAGACCTTTTGTGAGCAAAATTTAGAGGAGCAGTAGACCTTTTGTGATCCATGCGAGGGCAAAATTTACAGGAGCAGACCTGTTGTCAGCATAAACTCTAGAGGAGGAAGGTGCCATTCCAACATAGCAGACCTTTTGTGAGCCATCCACAGGTCTTGTGGTTTTGTGAGCCATCGTGAAATTCAGACAGATCACGGTTGAGATGCAGAGAGGTCTACATCTACAAAGATCCAGAGGCCTGGAGATCCAGACGGATCTGCAGGTGTAGAGGTCTAGAAACCCACAGACCTAAAGATGGAGGTTTAGAGGTCTTGAGCCTTGAGATCCAGGGAGGTGTTGAAATCTAAGTTCTATACTTGCAGAGGGTGTAGAAAGATGTTCAGATCCAGAGATATCAAGAACTCTTTTCACAGGTCTTCAGATCCACAGAATTTTACAAACGCCACGCAAACTGCACTACAAGGTTCGCAATCGCTGCGCTTGCCACGAAGTCTGCGCTTTTCGACGGAGGTTCACGCAATCTGCACTTCGAGGTTCACGAAGTGCTGCGCCTGCCATGAAATCTGCAGTTCCAGTGCACAAAGTGCCGCTCCTGCCACGAAATCTGCTACTAGAGGTGATCAAAGTGCTGCGCAGGCCGCGAAATCTGCAGTTCCAGTGCACAAAGGTTGCTCCTGCCACGAAATCTGCCAGAGGAGATGCTCAAAGTGGTGCGCGCGCCACGAAATCTGCACATCCAGATTTACATCGCGCAGCGCTGCCAAGGCAGTTTGCAGTGGCAGGCGCAGCTTTTTGTTAGAGATATTTTGTTTTTGATATATATTTACTTTCTTTTTGATAGGATATAGAAATTTTCTTTTTGATATATATCTATTTTCTTTTTGATAGCCCGGCCGGGCGTGCCGAAATGCCTGATGATCTCTGGATTTGGTGATAAGAGCTGTGATCTCGATTTGTTCCTTTGTGCGACCACTTCCCAAAGTAGTTCCTCTTTTTTAGTCGAGCATGGACGTGGGGAGCCCAAGCGCTCAAACTGATCCTCTTTAATGAGAACTATCAAGAAGGGCTAGCCACTGAAACTTGAAAGGACGGCCCTCGTTTCATATTAAGTTCAGTGCTTCATTAGCGTATTTTGGCCGGAATGAGACCTTATGTGGACCTTTCTATTCCAGCGTCTCATTCAACATGCAGCAGTGTGCATTCCTGTACGCGTCAAATCTATGCGGTAGACTACTACAGCTTCCAAACGCCGCTCCCGGCCCACCAAAAGAATTCGTAGGTCTGTTCCTTAGTCTTGAAGTACAAATCAGATGTGCCTGGCAGAGGCATTGTGCCGTTGCCTATGACGGCTGATGAATACAAGGCTCGCCAATGATATTGCTGGGAAAACCATAGCTTGGTAGTAACATGTCCACTCTTACGTGCTTTTCTCAGCTCACGTGAAGGAGTGTTTAGCGGGCGGAGTTGGATCTTGAGTTTCCAAATGAAAGTCTGTTCATTCCACCCGGAAATGCCTGGCAGGGGCTTACTTGGCCAATATTGGCGAAGTGGCTCGGGCTCGGCGAGTCCGGGCAGTCGCAGCAGGTGGGTGATATCGATGCTGGACGAAGCTGGCTTATTTGGGACACTCTCCTCGGCCCAGCCACGGAATACAGCAACATCAGTGACGTCTTAAACGTCTTATGTTCCTTTTGTTAGATTGGATACGATTGGATGAATTAGATAGATGGATGGATGGATGGATGGATACGGACGAACGGACGGATGGACGGACGGACAGACAGATAGATTGTCCATGTAGCTTGCTGGCAGGCACAGTAAAATGCCAAGGCGGTCAAAGACCGTAAAGCTGTGATGGCCTTTGGATTGAACTTTGCAGGCTGGTCAATGAGACAATGGCAATGGCAAACATGTTTGCAATCGCAACGGCTAGTATAAGTATATTCACTGTTTTCTGCTTTCCTCCCGAGAGAAGGAGCGGTTTTAAAGATTCCCCAAGTCTGGCAAAGTTGCTCCCGGCATGCTCCCGGCAAGGGTGCTGGCCAGAAGTTGGCAAAGATCGCACCTCCGCAAACGCAAGTGGATTATGGTCCAACACTTTAAGGCTGGCCGTTGGTATAGCTGGACATTGGTTTGGTGATGTGCTTTGGTAGCGCTGAGCCCACCTGAGGGAGTGAACAAAACAAGGATTCCCTGTTTTGGCTGCATTGTGTCAATAGGTGTATTACTTTTCCTTGACATGCTCTTGATTTGCGTGCCAGGCTACCATTTCAGCAGGTGGGCGTTGAGCATTGATGACGATTGATGGTCACATCATTTTGTGTTTAGCTCTATAATGTTGTTATGCTAGGGCTCAAGGACGATACACTATCACAAGAATCACAAGACCATCTGCTGAATTGAGCTTGACACCAAGCGGGAGACTCATAGAACTGGGGTGAAAGGGATGATCGCTTTTGAGTCTTGCAATTAGAGACCCGAAAATCATCAACTGCCGCATGAGATTGGGTCTTCTGCAAGGTGTCTAAACTCTTTGCACACTATTTGGGATCCATCCAAATGGAATTAATCTCTCAGACTCAGACCCGTCTGAAACCCGTCTCCGTCGCTTCCCATGGTCGAGGGCGGTTTGATTCTCCGGACAGCGGGAGGAACGGATGAAGTTGAAGACGATGGTCTAGTTTGATTAGAACAAAACTTTGTCACTGCAGTGCGGTCACTGCCCTGGACCTACCTGCCCTGTTTTTGTGTTTGGCAGATGGCAATTCTTTTTACTTGAACATCCTCTACCATCTACGTGAACTCCCTTTCTCTTTCTTGTACCTCCTTGCTTTTCAGAACCTCCTTGGCGACACTTGAGCTTCTCCCAACGATGGTGCTTCGTCGCAGACAGCAGATATGAGGGAATGCCTGGCCACACATCAAAAAACCCAATGAAACTACATGACGAAAACCTTTGCAGATACCTTATTCTACTCTAAGAGGCCGTATTCAGTTTATAAAACGAATCAATCATAATCATGGCTATAACATGTAAAATCTATTGGAACATTAGAACGGTCCTTGAAGCTGAAGTCTGCATATCTGATATCAATCCTGTTTTTTGATAGATTTTGAGCTAGTGTGTGCTCTCTCAAGCACACCCGTTCTTTTTACATTCAATCAGTGTTCTTCATAAGAAGAGTTGCAGTATTGGAATAGACAGAGCTAGGCCAAAAATAAACAGATACTTTGCCACAAAGAACACACCGTCGAGAATAGAAAGAACAATCAAGCAACAGACAATAGCTACAGAAAACACGGGAGAACCAAGTGAGAATTGGAGCAGTTCAATTCCATTCAATGAGATAAACGACGAGTAATGGGGACAAGCTAATTTTGAATGGTATATAGAGGTTTTAAATTAATGGAGAAGGAGAGCGAGCAGTTGAAGATTGACAGGTGTTGTTAGCTTCGAATAGAATTCCTGGATATGGCTTGGAGCCATAGACTAACAGGAAGAGCCAAATGAGATATATTTGTAGGTCAAATTGATTTAGGACAGCTGAATAGTACGACCAGGATTGACCAGGAGCCAAGCAATACTAGAGCACAGAATCAAGAAGGGAAACAATGACGAATCCAAAAGGGAAGTAGCAGTCAAGATTGCCAGACATCATCAATGAGTTGCAAAAGATACTGCTAGACTATGGCCAATCAGCCCTTGTACACCTGGATGTGGATTCTATTATCTACTTGCATGAACAGCGATTGCATAGAGGCACTAAGACCTTTAAATGACATGACATCCATATTTCACACTGCACCCCTATTGTGCACAGCTGTTTTTGTCCAATCTTCATCAGATCAGTCACAGACACAGACACACACCTGATGGTTTGACTAATGCCTTCCTCTTTCAGCTCAGTACTCCAACCTTTGTTTGCCAGACAGAAATTGCTAAACAAAGTAATCTTGGGATTGTCCAAATTGAACTAAGTACCGGATTCGACTCGATATCCAGGATTCAAGATTTCACTGTGAAAACTTGGACCTTGGATCCATTCCTGTTTCTGTGAACTTGGTTTTGAATTTGGAGGAGTCCAAAACAGCACAGAATTGCTATGTTTGGAGTGTCCAACTTGCCCGATGTTCAACAGATTCATATTCACACCAAGTAAATGACACCCGTTTTAGCCAACCACTCCCCTACAAAAAGGGTTCTCAACACACCGGCAGATACCAGCAATGTTGTTTCAGCATATGTAGGTTTTGGAGGGCTGTACTAGATACATGGCAGAAATCATGTGGAGGTAGCTCCAGGGATCGTGGACGCCGCCACGAACTGAGAGAACTCCCTAATTTTCCGCTGTGGAATGTGGAGTGGATGCAGGGATGGAGTGGGTACGGGAACTGCGCCAGAAGAGGATGTCATCGCAAAGACACTGTTGTGGGGCGAGACACTGTTTTTGGCGTACGTTGTGGAAACTTCTGAGCATGAAATACTTGTATAAGTATCGGTTGCACGTGGGTTGTACAAACGAAGTAAAGGATATGTTTACTTGAGTCACCTCAACAATTCTGTTCGTTTATTCTTCACAGGACTTTAAGGGACACTGGTTGCTCGGCCAGGTGGTTCCTCATCCGTTTAGGCTTGCGGACGTCCATAAACCGTGGTTCGTGGACCGTAAAAAACCGTCCAGAGCGGAGAAGCTCGATGACCGAAACGGTCTCCCCTGTCATCGAAGGATCGAAACAAAAGCAAAGACCTAAAACAACTACAGTGACTACAGGGACTATACAGTGACTACAGGCGAAACCATGAGCTTAGCTTCGAGAGATTCCAAGGGAAGCTAAGCTTCGTTTCTGGGAGAAAGCTTGATTGTTACTAGAAAGGGTCTTCAAACAGGAAATTTAGCAATGATTCCTGAGCCGAGACCCACATACAAAGGGATTGGATTGTGGAATGAAGGTTCAAGGTCTTGACCTGACAACCACTCTTCTCACGATTCAATGTGGATCGGCAAGTAGATCTTCCAGCTATTTGGGTTCTTCTCAGCAGTTGCGGCTTTCTTTGAGTGTCTACATTGTCACATGGCCCTTTTTTGGGGCAATATTAGCCACCAATGTAGCGCAGGCGGCTGAAAAGACACCGCTCCATCCTTCATTTGCTCCAGGCATAGCGAGGCGGTGGGAGCTTTAAGAAGGCAACACTTGACTTGTGTGAAGGTAGATTCGTGAGCCCTGCCGTTGTCCACGGCAGATGGCTCACGCTGATTCCGAGATCCAGAGAACATCCCGGACAGCGGGCGGGGCGAGCCTCGCCAAGGCATCTTCCAAGTTCATTGGAGTTTGCCTCGTTCATGGTCATCGAGCCTCTAAGGGTCGGTTGCTGGAGATGGGACCAACCCGTGCAGCTTTTTTTCAACACGTGAAAGTCCGATATTCAACATCGATCTGTGTGAACCAGAAGACCTTGCTTCCTGCATGTAGCTACCTGCATGACCAACGCCACACACCTCCCTGGCCCTACCTGCCAGCCTGCCTGCCTGCCAGCCAGCCAGCCAGCCAACCTACCCATCTATCTACCTACCTACCTACCTACCTATATTGCATATAGAGTTGTAGAGTGAATGTTTCAGGATCCATGTCTTTTCATGCATGGGCACATACTAAACACACACCTCTCTCTCTCTCTATATATAAATATCGATGCAGTGCATATATACTTACTATACTTATACACTCACAAAGTTCTTACCCACGTGATCAAGCCCAATGCACAATTTGCCTTTACACACCCTCTAAGCTGCCGTGTTTTTTCGACATTGAAGACTCAAGTTCCAATGGAGGAGAAAGTTCTGCTGACGCGTGGGATGCAGGATCTGATGCAAACAGAGTCGGTTCTCTTTCGCAACACAGGGCATTTTTCATTGTTTGTAGGGAGATCTGCTTTTTGACCCCCCTGCAGAAAGGACCAATCGACCGGGGTTCCCGGGGTTCCCTCTTAGCCGGCCCATTGGAGGGGTTCCCTCTTGAGCCCATTGGTCAACGGCTTCACCCATCGTTCTTGGGTCCTTGACTTCAGCGATGTCTCGGCTCTAACGGAGGAAGAGCCGAGACATTTTCGAGTTTATGTTGCTCCTTCTTCTTTGGGTCATGGTCCAAATCCTTTCATTCTGTAGTAAAGATGATCACCTCAAGTCTGGTTGAGGTCCCATCCGGGGAGGAATTTGCCACAAGAGTAGTTGCCCTCCAAAATCGTTGTCTTAAGAGTACATGTCCTGAGGCACGTGGCTTCCGACGATTCGATCCACTCAACAACTGACCCATGGTTCTGAACGCAAAGCTGCTCGCAGGTGGTACAAACATGTACTGACGATACGCGAAGGTTCCATATGTTATGCATGCTTGATTGAACCACCAACTTTTTTTTCAAGGGGGGTTCAGGCAGCAATCATATGTTTTGGAAGTCCGGGGAGCAACAGTAGAGTAGAGCAGCCATTTGCGGTATGTCTCTTCGGTTTGTTTCTGACCGTTCGGTGACCCTGTCTGAAGAATGAGACCGTCTCCAGTTCCGGATCTTTAAGCCTCTCATGGTTCCGAGCCCGCTGACAGGTCTTCCTTTATGGTGGCCTTCCTGCTTCAGTTTGTGGCGTGCTAAGTGAGCAGGTTTTACCCGCAGCAACTGTGCACGAGAAGTTCTTGTGCCTTTGAGGTGATAGTGGAACTTAGAGCAGTCGAGCAGGAATATGGCAATTGCATGCAATTGCACTCCTTGAGATAATCATATGGAGTTTTTAGAGGAAATGGCCATCCAAAGGGCCATGCCATCCACTTCCATGACTATTCCAGGGAGTGTAGCTTTTGAGCTTGAAAAGGTAATATGCATTTTTGCGACGATCTCACCTGCCAGACTCTGCCACAGCTGGTCTGACACACATAAAACGCACCGAAGAGCGCTGCCCAAAACGCGCAGCGTAATGGCAATGATTTGAATCTACAGTATGGTCTTTAAATGCATTTAAGTTAATCTAAAGGTTTTCTCAAGTTTCTCTGAAGAATGTTTCAATCCGGAAATACTGCGGTTCAGTTCTTTGAGATCTAATTAAGGATGATTGAACATGCAGAAAAGATGGTTTAGAACGATAGGACAGTCAGAGTGTCCGCGTGCCGGACTTCATGCGTGGGCGTGGGCTTGTTTAAGCTTAGACCGGGAAAGGCTGGAGGCGAGTGCGCTGGTCGTATATCCGGAGAGAAACCACAGTTGACCAGAACGCCCCCTTAAGGATCCACATTCTGGGAAGGTCTTTAATGTGGGTTTATATGACTTGTATGTAGTATAACCCTAAGGATCCGCACCCTCAAAAACAAGGGTTTTGAGGGTACAAACCCTTGTTATAGAGGGTTCGACCCCTTCTACGGAGGGTCGAAGGATCCTTAGGGAAGGGGTTGGAATCATTCAGAATTTACCTTCTGAGGATTTGCATCCGCTATTGCATCCCTACGAAAACGAGAACAACTCCTGTGTTCTCAGCTATCCAACACCTGCAGCCGAGTCGATTGGCTTCCCCAAAATCTGCTGAGTGACTTTGTCTTGGGGGGCCAAGTACCTCCTCAGAAGGTATCTGGACCCTCTGAACCCACCCCAAACACCTTCTGAGAAGGTACTTGGAGCCCTAGGGTTTGTCTTTGGGGGCCAAGTACTTGAACAGCCGAAACGGAGTTGGGGTTCCCGCCGCCCGGAAACGCCTCCGGGCCTTGGAGCGATGTCCGGTACTCGGAAAAACGCCGGTTCGGTTCGGTTCCGGTCGAGATCGGTGGGCTTTAGGCGAAGCGAGATCTGTGGCTCTCTCAAGCGTTTGGAGATTGTTTGTAGCTGATACAGCAAGGCAGTTTTATATGGAGCGCAGGTCGAGATGGACATTGATATAGATGTTTCATTTTTTTTATTCAGGACATGGTACATCGATCCGTGTACGCAAGGGAGACCTGTGGGTTCATTCATATGTCACTAAGACTTTAATGGAAACCTAAAGGGTTCATGTTTGGTACAAGGTGATTTCATTATCCAAAGTTCTCCGGGTTTGGGACTGAGGAGTACTGATTAGATAGGCAAGCATCGAGGAGGTCGTGTGAGGGGGGCCCCAGCCAGAGCTGCTTGTATGGCTTAGTTTTTATATAAAGGCATTCTCATTGCCCTTAAACACACAGCAGGTGGGTTTCGTTTTGGGACCAGCGAAGAAGGGCGGCGCGCTGGCGTGCAGCACTTCAATGGAGGCCTGGGTGGGACGGAATGAACCTGCATTTGGTGGGACGGAGACTGTTTGAATGCGACCAGAAGCCCAGAAGGCATGTTTGATACTTTAGAGACTCCTCATGAACCAATATATTTTTATGCAAGGTGTATACAGTATCCTTTGTAATGGGGAGCTCCAATTGACCAAATCCTGCAAGATTCAACAAGACATGCACCCGCTTTTGGATCTTTTGGGATCTTTTTCAAGCGGGCCAGGATGGTCTCCTTCTTCGATAAACCAACGGAAAACAGAATATTCATCTCACAATATATCCCACAACCACCTTCATCTTTGGTGACCGACCCAACCTTCAACGAATTGACAGCGAACTGGTGCTGGACGTTTGTTTCTGGATCGAACAGACCGCTCTGCCGTTCGTCCGTGAAAGGGGTTTTGGGACCTTTCAGCTCCCAGCAGTCGCACCCGTCACACCCGTCTGCAACGAATCTAGGCGCTTGAGCCGCTTGGGTTTGAGGGCGGTTGGTGATCACTTTGACCCAGTACCCAGATGTACCCAGTAGGAGATCATAAGAGATCACAAACTCATCAGATTTTGGGATCTATTTTGGTGGCCAATCTCCCTCGCCCTCGAGCGTCCTGGCACGTCCAACCCCCCTCGTGGAACGGCGTGGTCTGGTCTCCGAGGACGTGTTGATGGCGCGGCTCAAAGAACTCCTTCTGGAGAATCCGGCTTTAGGTGCGCGGGGAAACCGGGGCCATTCATGCTCCATATCTCATGTGGGGCCAAGCCATTTTGCTGAGATGTGGTATCTCCAACCCTTGCAGATGAGAAGCCATGTGTACTTCGATGTGTTTTAACAGAGCAAGAACCTCTCTCCGGTAGAACCGTGATTGATTGGCGCCTACTCAACTCTTCTTGGCTCAACTCTTCTTCCACCCTCTAAATCCGGGCCCCTCTCCCATGCCCTAGGATTCCAACCACCATTGATTTAATGACCTTTGCCGAACAACAATGGTCGACATTTGTTTTACAACGCGTTTGAAACTACAAAACCAGGTCAACCTTTCTTATACTGGTCTTGGAAGGCGGAATGCAGAGCGCCCCACTCCCATTGTTTCCGATGACTCACTACTGGTCCATACTCCTTTTTCCTCGAGC